ATTGTCTATGTGTAAAAGCACACGATCTTTCATAACCGACTTTCTCAGGAATGCGAACTCATATAACAATACCTTTTTTAAAAGTATGTTTTATGTCCCCAACAGACAAAATAATGCCACCGATTATACCCACACCTGTCCCACACCTTAAATAAGTATTTTTTGTCGATCTCTCTCTCTCTCTCTCTCTCTCTCTCTCCAATGACTGGTCGTCCGCCACACAGACAGACGACACTCACTCCGTCCTCTCAATCACTATTTACTAACCGTTTTCTGTGTCTGCAGTCTCTATGGCTTGTGCTGACCGTAAGAATGCATCCATTATTTGGGTGTCATTTCATTGATAGCCAGAGATTCCTATCTTATTATTAAATGCAAACATCAATCTAATCAATGCTTTATTCAATAATTTTGTTATATTGAATTGCAATAAAAATAATTTAGTCTTGCTATATTTCTGATATTATACTGGCTGAATTTAAATAAATAATTATAAAGATTATATAGAAATTTCAATTTACAAGGTAAATATTGCACTTAATGTACCCACAATTTAATTTAATCAATAAATCTTACTTGTACAATGATTGAGTCGAATTACTGTAATTATATAATTATTATTTTAATTGAAAATTTTTTTAATTAAACAAAAACAAAATTTATCCACTTGTACTGTACTAAAGCATATAATTTTATAAATGTCTAAACAATCGGTGTAAAATAAATTTTGTATTATGGTATTCAAGCTCATTAATCAATAAGAATATTTTTATGTCCCAAACATTGGTACCCGGTAAGTGATTCACACTTTTTTATTGAAAACAAAATTACATCATAACATAGGCAATAAATTATTTTATTCAAAAATAATAGTCTATAGTTTTGTCAAAAGTTGATATAATTAATGAGTTTATAATTATTTTAGTATTTAAATTTCTTATTGAACACAAAAAGCGAAAGTGCTTTTAATTAGAATTTGATTTGATAATTGATAATTTAATTTGAAAATTATTGGCACCAATGAAGCGGATTAAACACACATCTCATATAAATAGTAGAATTCTGTTTAATTTGCTATCTGAAGAATATATTAATATTTATTTTACTCTTAATAAACTTAAATTTAAACATCATCATTATGTTTCAAAAATTAAGTTTATGTTTAAGTGAGTATTTCATTTTAAACTACTGTATTAACTTATATGAAAATTGTGTTACATAAAAATAATGGTCGATTTTGTATTAGTGATAATAATAGCCTCATTAAAAGGCTATGACATGGGCTGCTCAATGACCGAGGAACAGTTGGACCAAAGCTTTTATGATTCAATGTTTTTTGGTAGTAAAGATGCAATTGTGCCTGCTGATGAGGCAGAAATGGATAAGCATTGCAGGTACTCTATTACCTTTATAAATATAAGTATAAAATAAAATTTAATGAACCATTTAATCAGTCACACCAAAGGTGGCGTCGATGGTGTCAAGCAATACTCGGACACCTGTTTGAATGGCTTTCCCCAGAAAGTGATGAGTATGCTCTACACAAATATGGGCCATCATATGGACAACCGGTGCGATAAACCGTCGGAAAGGGCAGAGTTTCTGGAAAATATAAAGTGCTTTTTGCCCAAAGAGAAGATGGATCCGTTGCACGTCTGCTTCGATAAGTTCACCAAATATACTGAGATAACGGCCGGTATGTCAAAGGACGACCCTTTCCTGCCGTTCATGTGCTGTGGCTTTCAAGAGTACAAACACTGTGTGCTGACCAACACCGAGAAGATCTGTACTGTCGGTCACTCGCAGTTCTGGGACGAGATCTTCGATGAAATTGTCAGTCCTTTCAGTCATTCGTATATTTGAGTATAAAATCTAATAATTAGTTATTGTTTTATAATTGCAGTCAATGGAGGCGATCACATACGCCTGTTCAAGCTATGACTCCTACGATAATTGTAATAAAAACTTGTTTCCCGAAGGATTGAAACAAATTAAGACTATTAGTGAGGCAACTGATCCGGCTGTTTGGCACCACGGCTTTAAAACTCCAGTTAAGTTTTTGTTGGATATGATCAAGAAATTTTATAACTAATTTATATGTTTAAATGTATTAATTATATGAATAATATAAATATTTTTTATTCAATACTTGTAATGATAACAATGATCAATAAATATATTGGAAACAATAAAAGTAATTAAACCAAACTTAGTAATAATTAATAATAAAATTCAAACAACATGGTTTTATTTAGTGAATTGCGTAAATT